GCTGACCGGCCCCCACGCCGCCTGCCCCCCAGGTGGAGGTGCTGATCGCCATCTGCAGCCTCACGGCACCGCTGCTCTTCACGGCCGCGGGCTACCTGACCTTCAGCGTGAGGCGCGTCCTGGAGGTGTTTGCCGATTACCCGCCAGCCCTCAAGGTGCGAGTTCCTCTGCAACCGGCCGCCTGCGGGCGTGTCCCTCCGACCCCTGCCCTCCGCTCAGGCCCTGGGAGGGAAGTGCCCCCCGTGCTGTGGTGCCATCGCGCTGACGCTCCCGTTTCTGTTCCGCCGTAAGATTCGGTGCTTTTTCCCTTCGCCGTGGCTCTGAGTCCATGAAACATGTTCACGGCTCAGAAGTCAGACCCGGAGGCAGGTCACGCGCCCTGTCACGTCCGTACACCCTTTTTCTTTAAACTGAACGATTTCTCCTGGCGTTTCCTCCGACTCAGGGATCAAGCGCTGTCTCCTCTCATTACACACGTGCAGTCCCCTGACCAGGGCACCAGCTGCTCCCCTGGGAGGGGCCGGGCGGCTCTGGGTCCTGACACTGCAGACACTCCGCGGGGCGCACCTGGCACAGGCAGCCCGAGGGCAGCTGTGCTGTTAGACCCCAGGTGAGGGCCCTGGTCCCAGCCAGCGGTGGCGGGAGCAGCTGTCCCCGGTTCTGTTCTGAAGCAGGTGAGGGCTGGCAGCACCCACCCCTCCTCCCGTGACCTCTGTCCACCTGCACCTGTCCCTCCTCCCGTGACCTCTGTCCACCTGCACCTGTCCCTCCTCCCGTGACCTCTGTCCACCTGCACCTGTCCCTCCTCCCGTGACCTCTGTCCACCTGCACCTGTCCCTCCTCCCGTGACCTCTGTCCACCTGCACCTGTCCCTCCTCCCGTGACCTCTGTCCACCTGCACCTGTCCCTCCTCCCGTGACCTCTGTCCACCTGCACCTGTCCCTCCTCCCGTGACCTCTGTCCACCTGCACCTGTCCCTCCTCCCGTGACCTCTGTCCACCTGCACCTGTCCCTCCTCCCGTGACCTCTGTCCACCTGCACCTGTCCCTCCTCCCGTGACCTCTGTCCACCTGCACCTGTCCCTCCTCCCGTGACCTCTGTCCACCTGCACCTGTCCCTCCTCCCGTGACCTCTGTCCACCTGCACCTGTCCCTCCTCCCGTGACCTCTGTCCACCTGCACCTGTCCCTCCTCCCGTGACCTCTGTCCACCTGCACCTGTCCCTCCTCCCGTGACCTCTGTCCACCTGCACCTGTCCCTCCTCCCGTGACCTCTGTCCACCTGCACCTGTCCCTCCTCCCGTGACCTCTGTCCACCTGCACCTGTCCCTCCTCCCGTGACCTCTGTCCACCTGCACCTGTCCCTCCTCCCGTGACCTCTGTCCACCTGCACCTGTCCCTCCTCCCGTGACCTCTGTCCACCTGCACCTGTCCCTCCTCCCGTGACCTCTGTCCACCTGCACCTGTCCCTCCTCCCGTGACCTCTGTCCACCTGCACCTGTCCCTCCTCCCGTGACCTCTGTCCACCTGCACCTGTCCCTCCTCCCGTGACCTCTGTCCACCTGCACCTGTCCCTCCTCCCGTGACCTCTGTCCACCTGCACCTGTCCCTCCTCCCGTGACCTCTGTCCACCTGCACCTGTCCCTCCTCCCGTGACCTCTGTCCACCTGCACCTGTCCCTCCTCCCGTGACCTCTGTCCACCTGCACCTGTCCCTCCTCCCGTGACCTCTGTCCACCTGCACCTGTCCCTCCTCCCGTGACCTCTGTCCACCTGCACCTGTCCCTCCTCCCGTGACCTCTGTCCACCTGCACCTGTCCCTCCTCCCGTGACCTCTGTCCACCTGCACCTGTCCCTCCTCCCGTGACCTCTGTCCACCTGCACCTGTCCCTCCTCCCGTGACCTCTGTCCACCTGCACCTGTCCCTCCTCCCGTGACCTCTGTCCACCTGCACCTGTCCCTCCTCCCGTGACCTCTGTCCACCTGCACCTGTCCCTCCTCCCGTGACCTCTGTCCACCTGCACCTGTCCCTCCTCCCGTGACCTCTGTCCACCTGCACCTGTCCCTCCTCCCGTGACCTCTGTCCACCTGCACCTGTCCCTCCTCCCGTGACCTCTGTCCACCTGCACCTGTCCCTCCTCCCGTGACCTCTGTCCACCTGCACCTGTCCCTCCTCCCGTGACCTCTGTCCACCTGCACCTGTCCCTCCTCCCGTGACCTCTGTCCACCTGCACCTGTCCCTCCTCCCGTGACCTCTGTCCACCTGCACCTGTCCCTCCTCCCGTGACCTCTGTCCACCTGCACCTGTCCCTCCTCCCGTGACCTCTGTCCACCTGCACCTGTCCCTCCTCCCGTGACCTCTGTCCACCTGCACCTGTCCCTCCTCCCGTGACCTCTGTCGCGGGCTGCAGATGTGGGTGAGTGAGGCACACAGTCCTGGCTGACACCTGCTGTCCCTGGAGCGGCCGTGGCTCTCGGCCTGGTTGGAGGATCCGTCACGTGGCCACCCTCTCGTTTCACTTTGAGCCTCTCTCTGCGTCTGCTGGTCCCGTAACCAAGCTGCTCGCCTCCCAGGGGAGTTGGCGTCTGGGCTTCTCTGTGGCCTGTAGGTTTGGGCGGGAGTGTTTGGGGTTATCTACGTCGAGCTTAGAATCGCTCCTGGTGGCCCCTCTCCCGTCAGGACAGCAGCCTGCCTGGGGGTGGTTCTGCTGTAAAAGCCACGAGCCGTCCTGTCTGGCTGCTGTCGGCCTGGCTCCCTCCTCACTCTGTGAACAGCGGCCGGATGTCACTGTGTCTGTCCTTCTCGGGCCTTTTGAGTGGAGCCCACGCCCTCGAGGCGCCCGTGGCACGTGCTGTCGGCCGTGTCCTGCCCCCGTGAAGGCGGCA